CTCTTCAAAACCACCGACAATTGTCCTTCTAATTTTTCCACAGCTTCACGACTTTCGACAACTCGTTCGAATGTTGCAGCTATATTGGCCCCCCACAAAATCCCAATGACGACATGGGTTGCATTTGGATTTTCTAATGCATCAAGCGAAAAATATTTGTGTAAATCGGCTGTATTTATGAGTAGATGCTCTTGCTTTGTTTTCGCTTTATACATGAATGTAACCCAAACAGTGTTACTATTTGTTTTTGTTTGTTTCAAATACTTTGCTGACCCTGCCACATCGATCAATCCTCCCATTAAACTCAACCTCAGATTGGCTTCGATATTCATATTGTTGAATGTCTCTCTTTGTGAATTGTTGAAGTCGATATGATAGCTCACATTGGCACTGTCTTGGATCCGAACAAATGACTCCGGTAATTCGCCGTTGAACAAGTTCCCTCCTTCCAGTTTGTCTGTTCGAATATCGTATAGTGAACCAATAATGCCATGACGGCCAAGTGCCTTTCGTTCAATTGCACCAGTTGAGGCCATGAGAATTCTCTGTTAATTTCTAGATTGAATACGCAATGCATTACAGAAATTAGGCATGATATTTCTGCTTCGCATTTTAATTAAAGGCTTCAGTCAGATATCGCATAACTCTGTATAAATCTAAGACCCAATATTTTGGCCGTAAAAATAGCGACACTACAATTTAATCTGATGTAAATATGTTCAACAGACTTCTTTAGTTTTTTCATGATTTAAAAACTCCTATAGCCACTAAAGTCACTAACCTCGAATGAATGTCAATTAGAGATGCACCAAACTCAAGCTCAATCTCAAGCTTCAGGCTTCTGCTTGGCTTAAGAAGCTTAACAATTTTTCCATCCCTCGTATCTGCACTGTCATCAACTAGACATGCTCCATGACAGTTGTTTTTCTTTACCATCTGTCAAAAACAGTAGACGCATCTGCAGGTTCAACAATCATTGAATTTGACCTGACAGTTTCCATTAGACTGTATCACTTGGAAAGATTCGACACACCATATCATCCAAATAGTTTTGTGGCGTGTCTCTGTAGATGAAACCAGTCAAAAATCTTCAGTCAAGCCCAAGCTTTTTTTTCAAACTTAAGCCTGCTCAAGTCCAATTAATTGGGATTGGTGCATCCCTATGTCAATAGTTGTCGAAACTTTTTTATCGCAACAAAAAATAGTTGTCTCATTAAATAAAAATATTCGAATGTGAACTCCATGAAACTCATCACATATTTTTTCGCTAAAAAATGCCCCATCGAGAATTTAGGTTCTTGAGGATTTTATGTTTCAACTTCTCTTCTACTTCTTTTTCAGAAGCATAAATAATACACGTACATATTGTTGATTCAAGAATATTTTCTCGAGAATAAATAATCATGATTTTCACCGAAAAGTGCTTTCAGACGGTCTCTAATTTTCTCTTCGTTTTCTAATTGAAAACAAATGCTTTGGAGAAGATGCGACACTCAATATTTTCTTGATATTATTTGTTTAAAAACGATTTTCTAGGATGAAAATCGGTATCTATTTGAGATGGCCAATCAAAAACAAACAGTCATCATCTCAACGGTTCTCTCCTACATTAGCGTTCTGCATTTCGTTTGTAATCGAAAGATGAATGCAATATTGGATATTATAGTACAAAAGTTTCGTCTTTAATTGCTTCGTAAACAAAAATCGACTTGAGTTCTAGCATGTCAAACGTTTCTTGCTTTGTGTTCAGTTCAAAATAGAAAGATTGGACAACTCCCAAGGCATGATCTGTTTAGATTGAAGAGGATGAGCGATATCTAACAAAACCAATTAGCTACATGTTCACTTTCGAAAATGAGAATTCGTCAGCATCGATTTGCGTTGAAAAATTAGGGCCTATTGGACATACGACGCATAAGGTGTTTTGGTCACGATTCAGTAGCTTGCCTTGCTTGTGTAATCTTAAAGGGAATAATTCTCACAAAAAAAACTGAAATGCAACAGAAAGGAAATAGGATAATAGGATGAAAGATTGAAGAGCAATGACATATAGAGAAAGATTGTCTCATATTTATACCACTCATCCATCATCCAGGGATGTGCCCATGAGAGAGAGAGAGAGTGACAGGAAGATGAGTATCCTTTAGTTTTGTAGAAAACTTTGTTATGACCGTCTAACCTTACATAGAATTTCGTTTTTGCTGTTGCTACTGGCAAGTTCTCTTCATTTCTCACACCATTCTTAAAAACATCGTGACAATGAAAGATGAGAAAGAAGAACAGTGAATATGCTATAAATATACCAGAAAGACAGGGGAACATAACGAAGAGCGCTTAAATATCATTGTTCATTTCAAACTATAATGCGCTCTACTGTTTTTGAATAACTGAAGAACGCAACCAGCCAGGGACCTGCAGTTTTCAATAACCGATAGAGGAGACAGACGGACCTCTTTTACGTCGATAGCCTATAAGGCGAAGTCATTTCAAAATTGGTCATTTCTGCAGAACATCGAGAAAAAACTATAAAAATGTTTTTTCGTTCAGATGAAATTTTGACAAAAAGTCAGAAAATTTGCTTAAAAATTAAAATTAACCCAGTTTTTGTGCTAGTAGATAGACGATTTTATTTGGTCAACATTAGGATGTGAGAAGATAATCATTTGAATTATATATTGAACTATAGATCTGAAGTTCCTCTATATTCTAGATCACATGTCAAAACCAAAGTTTCACCTGAATGACAGACCGTTTTCATACATTCTTCACAATGTTCTGTAGAAATGACTGATTTTAAAATGATTTAGTCTCATGCAACATTAGAGAAGAAGACGTACCGTTGTCTTCTCTTTCTATTGGTGAAAACCGCAGGACTCTAGCTGCTTGCATTCTTGAATTATTCAAAAAACAGTCGAACACATTATATTTTGCAATGGGCAATAGATGAATATTATAGTTTGAAAGATGGCAGACCGTTTTCTCATATATTCAGTAAGCACGTATGTAACGGAATATTGATGTAAGCGGTAGACTTTCCGTTACTGCTGCAGCTTATATCTTATTGTTGATCAACAGAGAGAAGCTGAAGGAATAGTGTTACCGCTATCCTCGGTGTAAGATGTTCACTTCACTACTTCATTACTCCAGTTCTGTTCATTTTACATAGAACACTGCCTTATGTAAGAGAGAGAAATGATGAAAAGAGAACAGTGTAAGCAACAAGTACGATCGGTCAATGATATCATCGTGTCTAGAAGAATAGTGACCGGTTGACCATATACGATTAAGTGAACAACAGAAGAATACGATATGTGCCCTTATTATTGGCACAACGTACACCTAAGAACACACGGCATTTGGTCTGATCTTTCTAAAATATATCGATGGAAATCAGTGCGATAGAAGTCGAAGTCGAACTATCTGACGTTTTGGATCGAATTTTACTATTCAGTAATGTTTTGAAGCAAATGAGCCTTGTCGAAATTCGAAGTTCAATGGAGTAAATATACCGAAAAATATCAGGAGTCTCCATTCTCATGATTAGACCAGTTCCACTGTGCTATCTTAAATGTATAGTCGAATATTTCAACACTTAACTAAAACTATGTCGATTGACAAAATTTTGAGACACAAGCAAGAAAACGAACAAGGAGGTAACTGCTGGATTTTGCTTTTAAAATGTATCAAAGCTTTGCGAGTCTCCTCGAACTACTTAAAAATAATCGCATATCTGAAAAAAACACAATTAGTATTTCTTTCTGCAAAAATATCCTTCTTCATTGATTGAAAAAAATAACATCTAACTTACTTCATGTTTTTATCCAATTATCGTTTGGATATTCAGTTAAAATGAGGAAAAACTTGATATTTGCAATAAGTACTCACCTGTTGATCTATGGCAAATTTCTTGCAAATACTTATCGACTTCAAATTGTTTTAATCTAGAAGATTTCACTGAATACAAAAAAATGAATATGAATGCTCGGCAAATAGATCCAAGTTCATGCGAGTAAAATCATGTTTTTTTATTAGAACGCGTTCTATTACTTGGTAAAGTAACTATAGTGTCCGGTCCGATCTGATCCAGTTCTAGCTCTGACTGTAGTTGAAATGAATACTCACTTCTATACCTTCACTCATTTACAGTTTCACTGTAAAATGAGCACCACGATGAAAAGCAACATTCATTTTCGATTTCGGTTTTTCTTCTGCAGGTTGGTATTCATGAGTGGGAATTCTGAGTTTTTCTTTTATTGTTACGTTCCCTCTTTTTTGGTTTTATCCTCATTAATTGCTTTCCCTCAAAGGGACACAGACTCTATGGTAGAGATTGAAAGCAATCATATAAAGTGAGAGTCAACAGACAAGACAACTCCACGGTGTATTTTCTGTTGTTGGTTGCTACGAATGACATTAAGTTTTGAGATTTTCTTTCGTTGTTACATTCATTCTCTTTTGGTTCTATTTCAATAGTTGATTTCTCTAACAATAATACAAATTCTGTTGAGAAGGTTGAAAGCAATCGTGAAAAGCAGTACCCATGACACAAAGAAAACTTCATTTTCGATTTTTTTCTTCGGGCCGGTACTGACGACAGAGAAAGCTCACTTTTTTCGTTATTACATTCTCTCTCGTTTTTTTTCTTTGTTTCTATAGCTGAACTCGCTTACAAGTGTACAGATGGTGTTAAAGAAGTGAAAGGAAATTACATAAAGCAGGGTGTGGGTGTGAGTGTGTGGGTGTGGGTGTGTGCTTTCTACTAATATAAGCATACACCCACACCCCACCCAAGCCCAACACACTCAAACCCACATCACCCACACCCACACATATTAAATATTCGAATTCTGATTTTTGCCTTGTCTATCTGCTTGCTTGAGTAATATTTCTAAGACAACATGAATTTTAAAAACAATACATAAATAAAATTATTCGAATTAATTTTATTTCAATAACTGAATAATATTCACGAAAACAAATATGAATGTCACCATAGAAATTCAGTTCGACAGAGCATTTTTCGGACAATTGAGATCAGGAGACCAATCATCACTACCGACACAATTCTTACAAATAAATAAAGCATCCGGATCAACAGTTTTTTTAATTGATTTTAATCGATTGTAATGCGCTTGGGTACCAAAAAATTTCTGTTGCCAATTAGGTTCGTTAGGATCAGCTTCATTCATATAACAACTTGATTGAGTTCCACCAGCCACACTTTCAAGAAGTTCGACTTGTGTTCGTAGATATGAGGCAATCGATCTTTGTTCTGCTGCTGATGTATTTTCATGCCATCCTTGTCCATAAATTATCTGCATAAGCGCAGTACGCCACCCCGAATTTATACTGTTATTTACCAATATCTTGGATACTTTCCCACCAGCTACAAAATGTCCGCTTATTATGGATCGATTTTCTGAACTCCCTCGTATTCTAACAAGTATTTCAGCTAGTTGATCAGGTTGTTGACGAACGATCTTCTCAGAAATAAGACGAGAGCCAAGTAGAGCATGACCACCGCTGTCATTTAAAGGCTTGATTATTTCTGCAAAATAATCGTAAAATGTTGGAAATAGAGAAGTGAAATTCAGATGGAATTGTAAATCGGTATTATTATTCATGAATTGATCGAAGACTGAAGTAACGATGGGAAAATCTCCATTTGGTACAAAAAATAAGATACTCAAATTCAGATCTGTTAAATAAAAATAGCCGGAGTAGCCGATATCAGCTAATGTTGGCATTAATCGAACGAAATCTCGAATGAGACGAGCATAGCGTGTTTCATTCGATGCAGAAATACTATAACTAGTACTAACCATCGATGGTGAAGGAAATGTGCGCAAAACTGCTCCGAGTACAACAGCAAAAGTCTGGCCACCTCCACCACGTAAAGCCCAAAATAAATCTTGATTTTGGCAAGCATTGACTTTTCGACGTTGTCCATCAGCTGTTACAACGTCAAATTCTAGAACTTGATCAACAGCCATTCCCTGCCAACGTGACAATGGTCCATGACCACCACCTAATAAGTATCCACCGACTGCACCTACTGTACTTGATATACCGCCAATCGCTATTAATTTATAATTCGCTAACCAAGAGTAAACTTCACCCCATTGTACACCGGCACTTAAACGAATTGCATTTGAGACAATTTCACCAGTGCACGATTTATATTTCTCAACTAAAGTCATTTTTTTCATATAATGAAGCCAAAGAAGTAGTGAATCAGCAGCTGTTGATCGACCCAAATAATCATGTCCTGTATTCTTTATTACTAATCGAAGATTATACTCATTAGCCAAGCGTATCGTTGCTATAACATGTTCAACTGTGGTAGCATTGACTCCATATAGAGGAACAGATCCTTGAGTACATGTTACGTTTTCTAGATCACCTGAACAGGAAACGTTCTCTCAGTTATAATTTTGCATCGATCCAGGTTGATTAGCCCGCCATGTCGAACTTGTCCACTGAGAACGAGCGTCATTACAAACCTCCATATTTGGCGGATTACCAGCACAAAATGCAGCAGTCGGTCGTACAAAAATTAATCGCCCATCAATTGATTTGTTAAATTTTCGCCAAACGAATTTATTTGGCCAGCATGCTGGGTCGCTCATTAAACATCGACAACGTAATTCTAATGAACACAGAATATCAGCATAATTGCTAGTTTCAATACAAAGTGAAATAAATGATCTCACAAGACTCGTTCAGTTATCTAATATGGTTCAAGGTTCATTTTTCAATACAGCAAGAACGAATACTTTATTCAAATTAACTTTAATCATTATCACCTAATCCTTTTGAAGTATCCAGCGACGAGTGTTTGCTATTATTGTGTTCATCAATAGATATTTTACGAACATGACTCCTATAAAGTAGGATGTCGATTTTCTCGTAAATATAGTTATCTACTCCTTTACAGCTATTGCGAGAGTATATAGAATACAATAAATCTCGCTGTATAGTTTTATTAGTCAAACGAAATGTGCATCATCTTAAAAATTCAATTTAATTCATGACTTTCACCAATATTCATAGATTCTAAATAAGAACAGAACAACGATAAAAGTCAAGAAAAAATTTGTCACTTATCGTATCAAAATAATTTCCATGTCTGAGTTTGTGTAGATTGATAGATAATGCTGTGATCTATATCCATTCATGGTAAAACAACTAGAGATTTAGTATATATCTTTTTTTAATTGACTTGATGAAATCATCCACATCCACATATCTTAAGTTTTCATTAGTTTCGTTTAATTTTGTTCAAGGAGTAGGAATACTTCCAACAGGAAGTCTCTTGTATATTTATGAACATATATAACTCCTACATTCATGTCGTCGATTATTTATCTTTAACGCTGGGTCAATGCATATTTCCTACGTTTGTCAATATTTTTTTGGTAACTTACCTTGAAAATGAACATTTTTTAGACTTGAGAAAGAAAATTAAAACTAACAATGGCCTAAACACGTGGTTATTTATAATACAGATTTCAATCTATTTTCATTCAAAAAAAAACAGCAAGTAGGAAACATCGCTAACTATTTTGTAACAATGGAGAATATTCATTTCTATGTGAAACAAGGAAAATAATCAAATAATTAGCTAAGATTAAGTGAAAATTTTCCACTGGTTTTAGTAGTATGGGTGCTGAGATTGCTGTATGGTTTGTTTTATTGTAATTACCGAATTTTTTTGGTCAAATTTACCTGCTTTAATTGAGTCTTGATAAACAGTGATAAATAGCATAAAATACAATAATGTTAACATATTTAGTCTGAATTGTATTAAATTTTCTACCTATTTAGTATCCTTTATTTGTTTTTTAGTGACTGATAGATAAAAGCGTTTATATATATATAGGTTTAGTTAGGTAGTAACATTTAAAGTTTCTTTGCATTAATTTCTAATGATTCTGTTCTATTTGCTGTAAGTAAATGTTATCTATAATCTTGACTCATTTTTAAATGACAATCCGGATTTTAATACTCAATCTTTATCGAATCGAAAAGAGTATTCAACACCTTATCGTTACATACATTTTTATTTGAGAATAACAAATTTTATTGTTAAGCTTTCTTTGTGTCAAGTTTTTCTATCGAGCTGTGTCATTATTCTAGTGCTATAGATAAACAATGCACCATTTGTCTGTAGAACAAAAATTAATTAATTAAGTAACTAATTTTTGCGTTTCTCTAGTTGTAAAAAAGTTAATTGTAGTAGAAGTGCACACACAAATTGTGAACGCATATTTTTCTTTGGAAAAACATTAACCATTAACAGCACTGCATTTAGAAAAGAAAACATATGTACTTATCATAACAATTTCCAAACGTTTCTAATAAAAATGAGTATAATATTCTCTTAACTGAAGGGTGAATCATACAGGAAAAGCTGAAAAAACTGGTTATGGGCTTGTATCAGATCAAAAATCCACACTTCGCTTTTCGTCTTCACACGAGTTAGACGCATAGCAATTTTGCTTACATTCCCTTGTAAGTGTTCTTATCTTTCCATCAAAGTGAGTTAATTATCACGTGATGGAAACTAACTATCACCTCAATCAAGGTGGTGTTCAAAAAAGATGCAAGAAATAAACAATCCTCGAGTTACAATTTATACAATAAGCAGATAAATTTACAAGAAGCTTCCAATATCGAATCAGATCATGATAATGATAGTGGCGTACAACGAGAATACATTATGAATGAATTGGCAAACGATGAAGCATTGTTAAATGATTTCTTACAATTTCGTCAACAACAAGCACATTATCGAATTCAAAAAACAGGTCACAATTTAATTCCGTACTACGAAAATGTTCCGTCAAATAAACATGTAATTCACAAGCAATTAAATCGATCTAAAAAGTTGCAATCAGGAGTAAATATACAACCAGACGTATCAACACCAAACAAACGTAGATTGAATGATAGTGCTGGATCAGGAGGATTACCAACACCGAAGCAACAACGATCGGGAAATAAACAATTTCAAGATAATGAAGTAATATTAGATGCAACGGGCGATAATCAACAGGTAGATTCAACATCAAAACACATGAAGCAACATAAGATTCCTTTCGATTAAGTGAAACGAGCTGTTTCGAGCAATCTACCATGTTTCCATATATCGTTCCATCCTACAAACGAAGATCAAAAAATACCATCAGCTTTCAATGCAGCAGATCAAGTTTTTGAACATCTAAAACAACAAAATGTACAAATTAATAGATTTAGTTTCGTAGGATGGACAGGAGCAAAGCTCAAATTGAGAGTAAATGGCAAAGAAGACTATATTAACCTTGTACCAACCGAAGAATGGCCTACAAGCATAATTAATATACCAATAACAATCGAAAAACCGAAGTTTGTTCCCGATTGTATTGCATTAGTCATCAGATATATACTTCGTGGCTTGGATTATGAACTTGTAAAAGAAGAAATATCACGATCAATCGCATCAGTTGTAAATCTGAAGAGAATCCAATATTCATACAATTGGAAAACAGATGATTATCGCTTTCACGTTAAAGACTTACAAGAGTATAATCGAGCGCTCAACATGAGACGTATCTCAATTGGAAATGTTATAGTACCAATCACACGATTTTTAGAAGGTAATAAATTAACATATTGTACTCGTTGTTGGTGTTTAGGGCATATGAGAAATAAATGTCTAGCTGCAACGGTTCGCTGCCGAATATGTCTACAAGAAGTTACTGATATTCAAAGACATAACTGCTCTCAACAGCCAAGATGTGCTCAATGTGATGGTAATCACCATTCACTTAGTAGTCAGTGTGAATCAATAAAAGCATACAAAATACAACTGAAAGCAAAAGTCGATAACGCGCTTGCTCGTGGTATGATACATAGATCAGAACCAAATAAACAAGTACCAATCTTTAATCCCGACGACTTCCCACCTCTGTCAAATCTTAATCGAAACAAAGTAGCAGCATGGGGATCAAAACAAATACCAACGCATCAGCCAACAACTAAATTTACAGAAATAACAGGTGTTCTGACAGCACTAAATAAACAGTTGTCAATTATGACTGAAACAAACATACAAATGGCGAAAAAGTTCGAAGAAATGGACATGCGCATGAAAGAAGATGCAGATGTTTTAGAATTATTACAGAAGACGATGAAAAATACGTTATGTTCAATACGTGAAGTGATGGAGAATATGGTATCTCCTCTATGTGAAAGAGCAAATATACAAGTAAAAAGAAAACATCTACCTTTTACAACTATTCTGGAAGAGTTACAAAGTGGTACAAGTAATAGGTTATCGAAACAAGTTCTCGACGCGCATAAAGATCGTCAAACACGCAACGATACAACAACATTATCTGCATCAAACAATACAAATACTTGATGATCGTGAATTCAATTCTCAAACCAAAAGCTAAGAATTTTGGTCTCGGTGTGGGTGTGGCTAGGGTGTGGGTGTGGATGTGGGTGGGTGTGACTGGGTGTGGTTGTGGGCGTTTCCTTTAAGTACATCCACACTCACACCCACACCCCACACCTACATCCACACCCACACCCACACCCACACCCACACGCACACCCACACCCACACCCACACCCACACCCACACCCACACCCACACCCCACACCCACCACCCACACCCACACCCACACCCTCCCACACCCACACCCACACCCACACCCAAACCCACACCCACACCCACACCCACAGCTACACCCACACCCACACCCACATCCACACCCCACACCCACCACCCACACCCACACCCTCCCACACCCACA